AACACTCACCTTTCTTTGGAATCTTTAATGTAAGTATCAATGAGGAGACTATACATTTCAGAATGTATGTTTTCCATGGCAATTTGGAAGCCATAGAAACAGCGAGCTTCTGTAATCTGAACTTCTTGGCTAAATCGCTCCACCTAGTGGCAAAATATCAAAGTTAAGCTTGATGAAAAACACCACAACTGTCAATGGAAACGGGTATCACCCCAGTCCCTTCTTTGTACCAGTGTAAGGTTTGTTTCTATATATATTTAATACAATTTTTCACAATTCTGTGATAAAGTTGACATTTTATAGCATATGTTCAATTTACAGATCAGGAAATATATGATTCCTGTTTCACAAGGTTTCTGTGAGCACTTGATTATTGATGGATTCTTTCCTAATCCATAGCAGGAAGGATCCATTCACAATAAGGCATATGCAACCAAAATATTAAAACAGCAAAGCCACAAGAGACAGCAAATGTGGCCATAAGGAGTAAACCTATTACTAAACATTGTCTTTCAGCTTCTCCAGTCAGGGAAAATACCATAAGGAGAAATAAGTGCAAATTGTGTTGCAAAACAGGAATTGCCACACACACACACGCACATATATTCAGTGTGCAAAAATTAAAAAGACAAAAGTTACCTAGTTCTCTAGTTCTACGCTAAATCTTCAAGTGAATGAAAGTTGTTTTTCGGAAACTCACCAAGTTTTCATTGACTATGCCATCACTTGCTGCAAAAAAAGCCAGAACATGTGATATGAAATATTTCTCCGCAGGCTTCAGGGCTTCCCAGTGCTGAATGTCTTTGGAAAGATCCACCTGAGGTTAGAAGTTCACAATTTTAGCACAAAGGGAAGAGATTCAAGCGTGCAGGACTTCACGCTAAGGCACTTTCAAATTTTAAGTCTACCAGCATGACCCGATGAATATACCCTTCACATACCCAGTTCCCTTTGCCAATTAAAACATCTAACATCCTCAGTGGGCAACCGTCCCCAAAAGGAATCTAAGTACATCTCAGACAAGTTCTAATCGCCCCTGCAGGGGTCTTCCATAATCCGATTACCTCCTCGGCCGTCCAGAAGGAAGCCTCAGCTTTCTTATACATTTGCCAAATATCATGGTATTCAATAGGAAAGATGACAAAGCGGCGGGGGTTTTCTCTCAGCAGTGGTTCATCCTCCAGGATGGGTACTTTAGTTTTCTGGTGGAGGAGAAAAATAACACAAAATTTAAGTACAGGGCAAATCACATAAAATTGCCATTTTTCTCGGCCAAGTACCTTCAATTGGCATTTCATGTGGCTCGATGCAAAAATATTCACAGTCACACTGCATTCCATATGCAACGTAAGCGGAATATGCTATAGAACTAGTGGGAAATGTCCACATGCACAGAGTAGGTCCTTTCAGGGCGGGGACACTTTGGCGGGAAAAGCGGCGCTGAGGAAGACAATGCGGTTTTGGCGCGGAGACGCTCAGAAGTCCTCAGACTTCCTCTCCCGGCCCCAAGCCCGCCACTCACCGGCTCCTCGGGCTCCTGGAAGATCCTCCTCGCGGTCTTGCTGGCCAGGACGCGGGTCCCGTTCAGGCCCGGGGGCTGTGGGGAGACGCGCGTGAGGGGCTGCCGGGTGCCCTCCTCACCCTCCCGCGGGGCGCGCCCGCAGCCCAGCGCCCGGCGCAGCTGCACCCCGGCCCCACGCGCTCACCGTGTTCTCTTTGTCGGCCAGGCTGAGCCTCTTCAGCGGCGAGACCCGCAGCTGCTTGTCCCCGATGGGAGCGAGCGGGACGCGGGTGGAAAGCATGGCGGCGGGGAGGCAGGCTCGGCGGCGGAGAGCTCAGCAGCAGGGGCGAGGAGCACACGGGCTGCCCGGTGGTCCTGAGTCCTTAAATGCCCTATGCCCTTCCCCCTTGCCTCTCATTGGATGCGCCCCCTCCGCCCGGCCCTGCCACGTAGCAAGCCAGAAAAATTCAAAGACCTGCGCGGGAGAGTTCGCCGCACGCCTTCCGGGGACCTCCAGGGACGCCCCAGGACCTCGTGGACCCCTCGGATGGCTGGTTGGGTAGGGACGCCGCTTCCCGGCCCCTGCGGGACCCCCGGGACAAAGGCTGCAGCCCCCGAGTATCTCGACCACCTTCGCACCCTTGAGTTCTAACCGTTAAGGATTACGCGAGAGAGGCCCGGCGATTGGAGCCCGGAGAGCGGGAACGGATCCCCCACATTACAGCCCCACCCCACAGCCCCACCCCCGAAAACTTCCCAATTTGTCCGCAGCAGGGGACTTTGCAAATGAGGTTGGTGCAAATGACTGAAAAATGCTCCTGGCTACGGGGGGAGCGTTACTGCGACCATTTAGATTCGTGTCCCTGGGGTGGCGGTGCAAGGGGCCCCGAGATCTGAAAAATTTGCGGGGTGGTCGGCGAGGACCGTGCAGCCCAATGGTTAGGGCCACTGTCTACTGTGCCCCACGGCTCCGGTTGCTGTGAGTTGGACAAGTGACCTGACCTCTTAAAGAGCCAGGGGCATTGTTGGCAAAATGGGGTTTGTAACTGTGCCTATCCTGTGGAGTTACTAGAAAAGTGAGGAGAGCGTTAAATGAGACGATTCATGTAAACTGTACAGTCCTTTGTAAACCTTCAAACTAACTAAATGATACAGGGAGCACCCTTGGTGCAGTTTTCCACTGAAATCCTGTCTCTTGTCATACCACTGTCCCCTATTGTCAGCCTTGTTTTTAAAATTGCAAACTCAGCAAAAAATCCTGAGAAGGTTCAGAGAATGATTGAAGAATTAGGAATTCATTTACTACTTATTGGGCATCAAATAGCCTAAAGAGAAGTTTGAAAAGTCCATTGGGGCGAGGGTGGAGACAGGAACTTAGTAACTTAGTTTTCATTTCATTTTCTATGTGACTTTTTGATTTGCCAGGGACGTTTGCCCTGCAAGGGGCAAAATGCCAGAAATAAATGAAGAGAAAGAAACCTTAAGATCGGGAAAGAAATGATTAACCTGGGAAAGCTCCAACAACTGCCAACATTCTCAGGGCTGTTACTGAGCGAGACACTGGACTTTTTACAAAGCCTTTTCTAGATACGATGCTTTAAAGAAGCTGGGGTAGGTAGTAGCCTCCCCACCTGGGTCTGTTTCTGCCATTTCTTAAAGAACTACAGACTTGCGTTCAAAGCATTCTCATGTTACCAAGGTCAATGACCACCGCATCTCTTACACAAAGCAGCAACTAAAACTTAGGTGTAGTATCATTTGTTTAAAGCAACTCGCAGACATTGCCAGTTTCACCCTTTGAATACTTCAGCATCCATCTCTAGGAAATGGATATTTTTATTGATAGTTTATGGCTGATAAAGCCACTATCTCACAAAATTATCCGTAATTTCTTGGTATTTTTCTAATACCCAAGTCACATTCCCATTTCCCTTAATCAGTATCCAAAGTGGTCCTTTTAGTTCTCTCAGGCACCATGTGCTAATTTTTAGCTCCTGTTGCACTCACTGTAACTCTGAAGCAGCCATAAATGACTCCATTAGTTCATTTCCTGACCACTTAAATACACACACCCATTGTTGTAGAAAACTTGGGTAGACGAGTATGTATGAAGACGCAAGGGGAAGCCGCCGTCCTGCCGCCCCGAGCCGAGTGAGTCACCCCGGCGCGCGCTCCTCGGCCGGGCGTCTGCGCCCTTGGGCAGGAGGCCGCGGCGCCCAGGGCGGCCCAGCCACCGCGAGGGGCCGCGCAGGCCCTGGGACCCCGCTTTTCCCTTCGATGCCAGGTTTGACATTGACACCTGCCCGGCAGGTACGTGACCAGGAAGGCAGGGAAAGAGCTTTCTCACGCCCCGCCTACTTCCGCTGCCCGCGCTGCGGCCGCCCGGCGCGGGCCACGCGGGCTCCCTGGGGGCGCTCCTCCCCCTCCGCCTCCTGACGGGCAGGGAGACTGGCGGGGGGCGTTTCCGGGAGCCGCTCTGCAGCCCCGGCGTGCCGGACTGGTGTGGGACTGTCCTGTTGATAGCAGCAGTGAGGGCAGCGGCACCCCACAGCCCCGGGGCGCCTGCATCAGGAGACGCAGTTTTAATCCACACAACTGCCGCTGGTATTTTTAGGCGCGTTTTATAGGTGCGGGAACTGCCCAAGGCCACACAGCTCCTTAAACCGCACAACTGGAGCGTTTCAACCTCGACTTTTTATGAAGAATGTTTTCCACACTCAGACAAAGTCTACAGCGTCCCCTCACCCCGTAGGATTCAACACTGTTTACGTTTTGCCAAACTGGCCTTGTCCCCTCCATGGGGTGTGCGTCTTTTTGGTCTCTCAATTAGTAAAGCTCCTCCACTTTTTTCTCCAGGACACTGACTTTTTGAAGTACGGGCTAGTTTTCTGGTAGAATGTCCCACGTTATACATCGCCTGTTTCTTCAAAGTGTCATTTAACTGTTTTTTGTAACTCCTTTATTGACTGTAAACTGGAAGTGAGATCTAAAGCCTTTATTAGATTAGTTTAAAAGTTATTGGCAAGAAGACTTCATAGGTGATTACGTAGCTAGGATTTGAACCCACGTCTGGCTAATAACAAATCCTGGGGGTTTTCAACTGCACAACTCTATACCACCTAGGAGATAATATTTTGCTAACTTATAGATTATTCTCTTGGGCTGTTTTAAGCTGCTTGTTTTGATAATAGGGGAAATCTTGGCTTGTGTGGTCCCCAGCCTCCAAGATGGTGCCCACCGATTCTCTCCTTAGAGTAGTCACACCCGGTGTGGTCCCCTCCCACACAGAATCAGGGCTGGTCTGAGTGACTAAGAGAATAATGTGGAATCGACCATGTGAGAGGTTTATGACTTCTGAGCCTAAGTCATAAAAGATACTGCAGCTGCCTTCTTGACCTCATGAAAGGTCCCTCTGCGGGAAACTAGCCACTATGTCATGAGACACACCAGTAGTTTTGTGGAAAAGCCTGGTGGCCTCCTGCTAACAGGCGGCACCACCTGAGCGTCATGTGAGGAAGCCACCCTGGAAGGGGATCCTCCTGCCCAGTCAAGCTGTCCAATGACTGAGGCCCAGGCCAACATCTCACTGCAACCTTCTGAGAGACCCCAGCCCAGCCACTCCAGAATTCCAGACTCTCAGAAACTGTTTTAATATGGACGACGAATTACATTCTTAATTATTACTGTACTCAGACATAGACCAAGCCATCGGCACAGCTGG